TAATCTGCAAGAAGAAATTATTGTTAAATTATTTAAGAGAGTGGACAATGGCCACTGAATAGCCATTGATCTAGCCAACGATGATATACAAATAAACCAACGACGAAGCATTCGAATATTGTACAAAATACTCGAATGTACAAACAATGAAATCTAGAATAAAAGAAATAGAATCTGAAAGAAGAAAGATAATTAAAACCTGAAACAAAAAATAATTAATACCTGAAAGAAAGAATTATTGTTAAATTATTTAAGAGATTGGGGTGTGGGTGTAGTGTACAGTGGCTATCGACTAGCTAAAGGTCTAGTCAACGACCACTGATAACTACAACCTCACTTTCGGAACCCCTTCCCCACCGAAAAAATATTAACGCGAACCTTCCGAAGTCGAACCGACAAATGGCTCGGCCTTCACGCGGGCCCCTTATATAGCCGCGGCCTGCCGGCCGAAGGTCGGCGAAAATTTCCGAACTTTACCGATTCCTTTGAAAGTTACTTTTCCGCTGTAATAACTAATAATTTATTAACTTTTTTGACTTTTATCGTTATTATACGTTGCAAACTATTTGTTAACAACGATTTTAATTTCTTATTAAGAACAAATTTATTAATTTATTAACTTTTTGTAAGTTCCGAAAATATTCTAACACAAATACGCCGTTTGTTTAAGTAGTAAGAAATAATTTATTAATTTTTTCACTTTTATTATAAATATACGTTGCGAGCAACTTGTTATTAACATTAACCCTTTGCACTCCTTTGTCGAGTGTGACTCGACATCAGTTTTCACCACAGGAACTCCTATGTCGAGTTACGCTCGACGTTCTTCGATTCCTTATTTACTGAACAAGAAAAGAGAAAATAAGTAACTATTTGAATTACTTAAATTCGAAATATAAATCACAACAATGTTTGGGAACTATATTTAATATAATCAGTAAACAACATTCTTTAAAATAAGTAGCAATAAAGGAACCGGTTCTTTAAAGTAAATTTCAAAGAAAATACTTAAAATAGTATGGAGTTATTGGTAACGAAATTGAAAAATAATTCGGAGTGCAAAGGGTTAATAACTTGTTACTAAGGATAAGTATTATAATTTACGTATAATAGTATATGTGTAATTATTACTCAAAATGTTCGAATTGATGCTGATAATACTATTAGTTTTTCATTAATTACAATCTTCTATGCAATTAATTTACAAATTATATGCACACATTATAAAAACAATATCCTTATGAATGTAAAAACCTTCCATACATAATTGTATAAAATTTTTACATGCCCTGGGAGTTTCTTTTGCCCATAATTCTAACTTAATATCACCAACAGTTGTTTTCATTGTAACCTTGTTATAACAAATATATTAATTTTATTAATGTAAAATATTTTTAAAATCAAAGTTACTAAAATTTATTATTTATTATTGTAATTCAAACTAGAAATTATTTAATATATTAATACAAATATTTAGAAAGTAAATGTTGTATATCAGTTAAACTTTTAAAAAAAGATATGCAATTCATTGAAATATTATTAATCAATACTTATTACTATACCCTTACAATTAGTGGCTGGATCTTGCATATAAATATTACTCATGTTTGTAAGTCTCCTGTAATAAAAAAAATTCTTGGTCAATAATATTTCATATTAAATCTTTAATCATTTACAAATCAGTCAACCAAATGGTTCTTTTTTCTAATAATCATCAGCTGGAAAGACTTACCTTTTACCTCCTTTTAACGTTGTCTTTATTGTCACAATCAATTCCATGTGCTACAACCCATTATTCCTGCAGCTTTTATAGTTTCCAGGTTCCTATAGATATAATAGGTATTTCTACACGTTTTAGTTTAATGCAATATTTACTCTCTATATTCAATTTATCTTTAACTTTCATAACTATTACCAATTGTTCATTCTTCATCTCTTCAATGATCTTCATATTTCCATGTTGATGCCACACATCTTTCTCTCTCGATACATATACTGCCACTTTTATGTTTCTTAACATAATATAAATTTCTTCTTCTCACTGCTATCATTCCAATCTCTCTCCTTTCTTCATATACCTTGGCCCCACCATTCTGAAATTTAACACATTGGCAAAGATCATTCACTTTGATCAAAGATAGTAATATTTATTTAGAAAAAGCATACAACTTACCTTTTAGCCTCACTGTATTCTCTATATCTTCTCGTTAAAAGAGGACATTGCCTAATTTCATTCCCCTTTATCTGCCTGAAGCATTTCCCTCTTATGAATCTTTATTTGACCACCAAACATTTCTATCTTGTGGGGCATATGATTAGCTGATCTTGAATCCAATAGACATATTATACCTTACATATTTGCTTTACTGCTACAACTTTTTCTCACAGTAAGATATAATTCCTGGCATCTAATAGCTCTACATTGGTGATACTTCATGAGTCCAAGATTTTTCTACTGTTGCACATGCCTGTTTATTTCAACAAAATGTCTTGAACCCACTCTACGCTCTTATACCGAAAAATTGTAATCCAAAAACCTTATTTTAGAAACAGAAGCGAAAAAAGTGTATTATGCACACGATCCGACAGCCGCTGACACTTTCGCACTATTTTTCAAAATCGCACGCTCGAAACCGAAAAAAAATATATAATCCCGTTAAGGGAGAGTTCCCCCTATGGGAATATATAGAACAAACCTAATCAAAAAGCCTAATTTCGCAAATAAAAAGAAAAAAGTCTATTACGCAGCACGATCTGAGAGCCACTGACACTTCCGCCACTATTCCTCGAAAACGCACGCTCGAAACCGGAAAAAAATATCCAATCCCTTTAAGGAAGAAATCACTCTACACTGATAGATAGAAAAATCCGAATCCAAAGGCCTAATTTTGAAGATAGAAACCAAAAAAGTAAACTGCGCAGGATGATCTGACAGCAACTGACACTTCCGGCACTATTTCTCGAAAACGCACGCTCGAAACCGAAAAAAAATATCCAATCCCGTTAAGGAGAAAATCACTCTACGCGAATCAATGGAGAAATCCGATTCCAAAAGCCTAATTCACAAACTAGAAGCCAAGAAAGTCAATTGCGCAGCACGATCTGATAGCCACTGACATTTCCGGCACTATTTCTCGAAAACGCACGCTCGAATCCGATAAGAAATATGCAATCCCGTTAAGGGAAAAATCATTCTACGCGAATCAGTGGAAAAATCCGATTAAAAAAGCATAATTCCAAAACTAGAAGCCAAAAAAGTAAATTGCGCAGCACGATCTGACAGGCACTGACACTTCCGGCACTATTTTTCGAAAACGCAGGCTCGAAACCGAAAAAAAATATTCAATCCCGTTAAGGAAAAAAACACTCTACGTGAATCTATGGAAAAATCCGATTCCAAAAGCTTAATTCAAAAACTAGAAGCCAAAAAAGTCAATTGCGCAGCACGATCTGACAGCCACTGACACTTCCGGCACTATTTCTCGAAAACGCACGCTCGAATCCGAAAAAAAATATGCAATCCCGTTAGGGGAAAAATCATTCTACGCGAATCAGTGGAAAAATCCAATTAAAAAAGCATAATTCCAAAACTAGAAGCCAAAAAAATAAATTGCGCAGCACGATCTAATAGCCACTGACACTTCCGGCACTATTTCTCGAAAACGCACGCTCGAAACCTAAAGAAAATATTCAATCCCGTTAAGGAAGAAATCACTCTACGCGGATATATAGAACAAGCCTAATCAAAAAGCCTAATTTCGGAAATAGAAGAGAATAGAGTCTATTACGCAGCACGATTTCACGGCCACAGAAACTTTCGGCACTATTTTTTGTAAACGCATGTCCGAAATCGAAAAACAATAATCAATCTCGTTAAAGAAAAATTCACTCTACACGGATATATAGAACGAACCTAATTGAAAAGCCTTATTTCTTAAATATTAGCGAGAAAAGTAAACTGTGTAACACGATTTCACGGTCACTTGCTCTTCCATCGCTTCATTTCACATGTTCACCTTCACTTTTCTCCACATGTGATATGTTACCACCGAACAAATGTTCACAGTTATTTATCCTGTTCTTGGCAAAGTTATCTCAATGTCTTAAACTTGTGTTGTGATACGTTTGTAAATATCACGACGATTGTGCATAAGTTGTTCAGTGTTCCGAAATAAAAACTAATACTGCAGATTATATTTCTTGAATATTTCTTTCGTTAGTTGCAGTAATTAAAAGACTGATCAATGATAACACTACTTCACAAAACATTTTGTTCAGGGACTCAAAGTTTCACTTTATCGCGTGTAAATATTCCAGCATGCGTTACCGGCATGTTGGATTCACGTCGACTAGAAGTGCTTTGCGATTGGGCAAGCTATGCCTCGTTTTCGCGGGAAAATGCTTCGTCTTTGAAATGGCTATGTGCAAAAGTAACAATGTAGAATATCAAACGATGTGTCTTATGTTTATTAATGTCGATGAAACAAATACAAATATGTTTCTGTTACGAAAATGACATAAACAGAATTAAACAGAATGCAGAACTTACTTTTACGGCATCGTCATCTTCAACTTCTCTTAATCGTAAGTCAACTTTACATTTGCCATAAAAATATTTACATCTCGTGTTTAAAATTTCTCTATCATTCCGATTATTAAAACATTAGTATTACATATAACGAATACATCTTGTTCATTAGACGAAACTTACATAAATCCTAAATTTTTCATCGAGAAAATGAAACAGTTATTATAGTATAGGAAACGTGCAGGTTACATTAAATAGACGTTGTATGTTTGTAAAAAAATAATATACTTAAATAGCAATGTTATAATTTATGGCTTTCAAATATTTTTGTATTGTGTCATGAAATAAATTAAATAGTTTTGTTGCTTCAATTATACAATCACAATTTATTTATAAATAACTATACATATCTATAAATAAAATAGACGGTTAAAATAATACTGAGATAATTTTGTTTATACAGTAAGTTGCGAATATAAATTACTGTACAATAATCTACATTTTGTATTCTTTCAATGATCTACTAACATTAAATATGATATAATGAAACATATGTTGGTCGCTGCATTACTTGGTTATTATTGTTTATTGTAAACTAACATTAAGCATACCATAAATCACATGCATAAAAATTCAAATTAATATAAAATATTAACAAAGGTCAACGATCTCCTCTTCCATTGTCCTTTTCTATTTTTACTGCACCAATTATTTTACATTTCTCAATTTCTTCATCATTATGTTTAGACAATTTATTATTTTCCACCGTATCGCCACAGCATAAATCACAATCTTCCTTACTATTATTATCCATTACAGCAACTTCTTCTTCGCAACATTTTTTTAAAACTTGGAGAGTGTTCAATTGTGTCGTTTTCAATATGTCTTCCATTGGTAATGCATTGGTTACAGAGCGTGGCTATAAAAATTAATATTTTCCGTTGTTTTCAAATAATTGGTAATAAAAATGTGAATTAAAATATGAGGCAAACATCGAAAACGAAAGTATAATAGTTGAAATGAATGAAACCACATATTACCTGTAAAATTACTTGTACGGGATCCCGTTTTTGTACATTTTCTAACGAATTACCTGTTCTATTTGTTTGCGCAAAACTAATTCCAAATCCTGATAAGCCTAAATTGAAAGATGCACCACAGAGAATAAGGGGTATCATTATTATTACACTACCAATACATAAGAAAAGCATGCATATTATAATCCATCTATAAGTCCATGGTAAGTTATCTGAAACAATAAACAAAATTAAATTAACTAAGCTATTAAAATAAAATTATGCAGATACAACTTTTCAATTACCTGTTACATTACTTATAAAGACAGATATAACAGTTCCTATATGTGTAATTGGGTGAAAAATAACAGTAGAAACAAAATGTGATAATGCAAGTGCAGGTGTAATTTTTAGTTTTGGATTAGACATCATTGTTCTATAATACTGCTCACAATCATCACCATCTATAAAAACAAAAGATATGTCAGTGGCATTTCAAAATAGCTTACAATATTTTATAGAATAATATATACTTACAAAAGAATGCAACAATTTTATCCCACATATTCATCTTATCTGGCTCACATGAGATTGGTATCTTTGAAAATTTAATTTGCTCGGCAGTAGATTTTATTTCAGCTTCCTTTCAAAGAATGTATAACAAATTTACATCAAAAATAATATTTGTTTTAAACTTAAAATACTTTACTAATGATTAATGTATACCTTTATAAGCTGCCACCAAGTAATAAAGAAACTCAGTAGCAATATAATTTGTATAAGACCAAAAATGGGAAGTCTGTGTCCCTGTGCTATTTTTCTAAATGTCAAACCAACCATTATCATTACAGATAAGATTAGAAAACCATCCGGCTAAAATGCATAAAACTCTTGTTAGATCAAAATATAAATCAAAAATATAATAAGGTATAATAAATACTCTTACATGATCCTGTAATATTTTTAATATGCTATGAAAAGCTTTGTATAGCATACCAGAAATATGCTTTACTCCAAATGTATAATAATTTTTCGGTTTCTTTATTATATTACTCAAAATTTCATCAACTTCCCTCAAAGACATTTTATGAGTATGAAAATTTCTAAGTGTCTCTATTTGAGAATGAGATATTGATATTTCTAATACTCCTGTTATTGATACATCATTCTGATTCTATTTGTAATAGATAAAATATATTCGGTAACGAATATGCTTAAAAATTATATTACAAACAATATTATCATATTACCTGTATATAAACATTGGATAATAATAAATTAATGAGACGCTGATAAAAGATTGCTTCATGGCTATTACAATTATTTATTTGATTATAAGATTTCAAGTTATTCCGAGCTACAATACTGTACTCTGCAACATCTTTTACGCTAAAAAAAATAGTTACATTGTTTTGCAAATGAAAGAATAATATTTAATTATATTTATTGTTCTCGTATCGTAAAGTTCGATTCTAATGTATTTATATTTACATTGTATACATACCTGTTTACCTCTATATCTTCAATCATTGTTTTACTCTGTTTATCAAAGAAAAATGAATGAGGATTAATGAATTCTTCATCATTTCTGTGAAAAAATTAATTATTATTTGTTTTGTACTTACACAATACAACAAATCTTAGTTAATTTTAAAAATAAATGTAGCTTGTGAACACACTTACATTGTATCTTCAAAGTAGCTTTCATCTTCACAATCAACAATTAAAATAATGACAAATAAATGAATCAATATAAACAAAAACTTGCTTGAATACTTCATTATAAAGAAGTTTAGAATACAATATTCTGAATGGTTAAGATTTATATGTTCGAAAAATATTAATTTCGTCAATTGTTTTGTAACTAACCTTTTATATTCTATAAACTACACTGTAAATATATGTAAATTAAACATAACTTAATTGTAATTTTCACCAATAAATTCACAAATCAAATATGTCGTTTAATACAACATACTAATATAACCTTCAGTAAAACAATGATACCATTCTACAATAATAGAATAATGCTGTCATGTGCAAAATTCAAATACAAAATTACCCAACACGTTACCCAAGATTGGTTACTTAGATTTCATGTTGTTCTCAGCCAATATTTCCACGTATATACAAGTAATCATTTTTTACATAAAAAAATGTTATATTCATTATTTGGTTTTACATAATATTCATATAGATTTTAAATCATTTTATAATATTTTACTGGTATTATTTAGTGCATTTAACAAAACAAAAAGACACTATTAAAAGTACTAGTTTTGAATATATATTCAAATATACAGGGTATCCCAGCAACGGTAGTACAATTGGGAAGGAGGTGATTCTACATGCGGAAACTAATCGGAAAAAAGAATACAATTTTTTTTATTGGAAACTTTGTTTTCAAGAAAATCGACTTTGAATATTCACCGAATACGCGTACACTTAACTTTGGCTAAGGCGAAGGGCCATGGGTATTCCCACTCTTTTTGTCATTTGAATAAAGAAATTGTCTAAGTGTTTCAAATACTTAATTATTAAAAATATTAAAATGAAGTAATAATATATAGCCCATAAAATTGTTTACAAAAATAATTGCTTGATCATGTAGATATAATTATTTTTAAAATTATTACACATTTATTAAAATGGTTTGACATCATTTCTTAGATATTGTAACACAATGTATGTATATGTCTATGCATTAATTTTAATAATCATTTCTGAAATATTTTTAAATGGTTCTTGATTGTAAAAATAATTAACTTTGTTTATATGTATATATTTATATAGATTTGTGACGCATTGCCTATAGAAAATACATTACAGCTTAAGTGAAGTGTAATGGGTTCTTGTGTACATAAAGGAATCTTGATTGAAAGGAATTCGATCTGTAGTTAAAATTAAAATGGAAGTGTTAAATCATTTCGACAACATTGATGAAAGGTATGTTCCTTGATCTTTCGTATAATTTTAATAGACATATTTTATTACTCGTTCTGAATATAAAAGCATTATTAACGATTAGTAAAACTATACTATCGACAAAATGTTTATTTCGTTCACTATGAATTAACAAAATTAATTGTATATATGAATTTGAATTTTTTATGTTTAGATTTCGTAAAATGTAATTTTTGTTTTTATTTTGTACAAAAATTGGAGAACATTAGAAATGACGTATAAGGTTATCTCGTATGATGTATGAGGTACATATACTTTTGGAAACATATATTCGTAACGTTAAGTAGATAATTTTTAATTAAACTTTCTCGTTCTTTTTAGTAAATAGTTAATATTTTATAGTGTGGATGAGAATACAATTAGCAATGACAATGTCGGCGTAGTTCTAGAGGAAGCTGAAATAATAGATTGTGACACAGAGATAGAAACTATTACAGAAGAAGACAACATACAGTATCAGTTATGTGAAATAAATAGAAACGATAATGCAGTAGCGTATCGTGTGGTACAAGTTGGTGATAATCATACAAATAATACTGAGTTGTCAATAGCTGCATCTATAAATAATACTGTTCAAGTTTTAACATCACCTATAAGTGGTCAGTTTTATGTACTTAGCAATGGTAATGATGTAGTTACCTCGGAATCTACAAGAACAGTTGCACCACGTGTTAAACTTCAAATAGATAATCCACAAAATATCCTTACCAATATTAAGAAGGTAATATGTATTATATGATCTATAATTAATATTAATTGTGGAACAGTATTAATTAATTAATATGTAATATCACACAGAGAGATGAAAGAAGGAGGGTAACACACAATGAGGTTGAAAGGCGTCGTAGAGATAAAATTAATAATTGGATTTCAAAGTTGGGAAAGCTTTTACCAGAATGTGAGCAAAGTACAGCAGGAGATGGAGATGTGAAAACTAATTTTGAGTTACAGGTAATACAGTGCGCCATTTTTATACTATTATTCCATTTATTATAATATTTCTTATAGTATCTTGCAGTCACTTATAGAAATTTTATGCTTACAGAGTAAGGGAGGAATTTTAGCAAGAGCATGTCAGTATATTACGGAATTGCGAGATGTACAAGAGAATTTTTCGCAAAGTTTAGATGAAAATGCTCAATTGTTAGAAGAAGCTAAAACTTTAAGGCAAGTGGTAAATCAATTAAGAAAAGAAAATTCCGAATTAAAAGCTCAAATATCAAAAAATACAACTTATATACTTGGTACCTAATTATCTGTAATATATATATATATATATATATAATTATTTTCAATTGTATTTGTAAAGAGTAACGTGTAGGAAATACATATAATTCAGTGCAATAAAGTAATAATAATATAGTAATTATAAAATGTTTATTTACATATATTTAACTGAGTATATATTTATATTTTGAAAACAATTGTAAACATATTATGTAATTTCAACTGTACATATCATAAACAATAATTATTTATAACGTGAACAATCGAGCAAAGAGGGTAATTTATTATTAAATCATTAAATTAAATATACAAATATACAAAACATTGTGCTATCAATTAATAATTAATCTTTATCCAAAAGTTATGTGTCATTCAATTTTAAAGTTCCTTATTGCCTAGACCATATTGGAGTTTCCGCTAATGAAGAGTTCTACAATATTTACACTTATAAAGTACAATACCTAGTTATGTACACAAAACAAAGCGATACATTATTGTATCAGTACTTTTTTAAATTTTTCAAAGTGCAATGTGGGCGTGCATATTAATGATGTGAATTTGCATAACAATGTGCCAATCATTAATATGCATGCGCAACTATTAATATTCAATACAAGGGAAAATATATGCATTCACATCCATATGCAACAGCTTAAACTGTTATTATTGTAATGCCTAGTAATATTATTGCTTCCAAGCACATCATTTTGACGTTTGTGCAAAATCTGTTACAATATTTTCAGAGTAATAATACAAATTTTCTAATTTGTAGCTATAGAAAGAATATCGTATAGAATTATTAATTACATATACATTAAGTTACGCGTCGTTATCAAGATATGTAGAGCATGGTCAATGCAAAGAACAAAGTGTCATAATATTTAAATTGTCTTCCTTAATTAATAACTAATGCGTTCTGCGAATATTCGTAATATTACTCTGATAATTTACAGAAGATTTATTCTTTATTGATGTTAGTGAGATTCAATGAATGAAAAGCTGTGAGATGTGCAATATGCGGTATTATTGTTTCAGCATTTATAATTAACATTTTGTTATTTCTTTCCTTACATTTAGTCACATTGGCCATTATAACTGTCCTTACATAACAATGCTTATAGAGAAATTGCGTTCGAACAAATAAATTTGTCCTATAAAAATAACTCTTAAAAGAATTAGGTCCAGCAACAAATGTATCGCTCCTAGACTACACATCAATGATTAATGATCTCTGTACAATTGAGTAGGAATCTTGCTCTTTCACTTTTATCATCATATTGTCCTTGTCGTATAGTAAATACAATGCCAGAAAATAAGCAAAAATATACTTCTGTGTATTGTTTATGTTTCATAAGTATTTCTTCCTTTATTTCTCTGCACAATTACGGTTAAAGACAGAGATTAACAGTTATGTTTTCACGAACGTATACTTTAATATTATGTATGCGTTAAGATGATGAAGAATGTCAGAAACGAATAAAAACATATTTAGTAAACATATTGGCAGTGTTGAAAACTTTCACAATTGGTGGACTAGTTTTTCAAAATGTTAATTGTATTGTTCACGATGAAGAATTACAGATAGTGTGTACATGCTGTTAACTTTTACCTACAAAACACAGAGGTTTTTGCTGGCTGACTGGCTTTCATCATGATATTTTCGTAACACTTTTTCTGTACAAGAGTAGAAAAACATGAACGATGTCTCAAATGATTCCTTTTTAGAAACTTCTACAGCAGCAGTAGAAAAGAAGCTTGATATGCGAGTATTTACACGTTTAGTGATTTCTATATCGTTAATACTGTCGCTCCGTAACCGACGTAGAAATATAATTCTTCGTCCATTTACCAAAAATTTAAAACCTTCGTACAAACTACGATGAGTATTATGATTTACTGCTTCGTGTGAAGCGACAATAATTCTAGGCAGTAAAAGGGCGTATCGTGAAACAATTTAAAGATTCTTTTTTGTTTTTTTTTTTTAACGAATATGTACTATGATACGTTTCGCTTCACTGAGAGAAAGTTTCAATGCATGATATTTATGTCAATGTCGTTTCTTTTTATTTCAATGTGCATTCTAAAACAGACTATGTAATTGGTTATCGAACCAGAAATACATTTAAGAATGTATCTTCACTTTGGAACTCTAAATATATCTACTTATAGCAAAATTCGGTTACTCTTTGACTATACTTTTCTCTCAGTGCTACCCTCGTACCTATATTTGCTCATGTATCTCTGGGAAACAAGCATTTCTCAGTCAGTCTTTATTACCATAGAAAACTGATGGCCATTACTAATCCATTCATTGCTCACAACATACAAGCGGTTGCATTTCGATACTGCTAAAATTTTATCATCACTGGTCTTTCATGTGATTTTGTGATAAGAGTGACTAGTACTTTCTCTTTAGTACCGCAAAAGCTCGCTATCGGCTTTACACATATATCCGTATATTTTTAATAGTAGGTGCATTCACGTTTTCTAATTTATGTTTTTTCTTCTTCGATTATATCATTAACTTGATTCGCCTCGATACCTGGCGCCTTACTTTTAATCGCTCTAAATTTTCGCACGGTATCTTTTCTGAGTTTATGATATTATTAATTTCATTTAAGATACCCGTATAAACGTTGCTTGCACGCATACCCTCCTTTACAAGAATTTATGATTACGGTTAATTAATAATATATTTCTTGAGGTTATATTTTCATCAAACAACGTTTATCATTTTCTAGAAACAACTAAGTGATAATACCTTGTCACTCCGTGATTGCAGTGATCTGTGTGATTGTAAGACGACAGAGCGTGGAATCTAGAAAAATTTTCCTCGAGGCAGTGAAATAAATATCGTCAATGCTGTAAAGTTACACTTTTCTTTTTATCGAACGTATGTGTTTAAATTAAACCAGAGAATACTACACTCGGACCGATGGAAATTTTAGGGTTTTGGTACCCTGTTAACAGGACGTATCGATATTTTTGAATCGATAACGATTAAAGAGTGAAACTTAAAAATTAGATAAATAAAGAACCTTCGTTCCATACATATGACAAGCGCTTGATATCGTTTGCTTTCGTGCGAATTAAAATGAATTCGATTATTCGAATACCTTTGAATGTCGAAATAACCGAGAAAATTGGAATAAACTGACAAAAAGAAATTTAAGAAATGTTTTTCAAACATTAAATGAGGTATGATATAAATCATCGTTGCGAAGCAACGATTAAGCGCTTCTCGTTAGACTTTCACAAGTCAATGTATGGTACGAAGGTAGGCCTGTCTCAGGACGGCTGAAGTCGTGTATTTTTCTTGCTGCTACCGAACGTGAACCAAGTGCCAACTTTACGTCCTAACGAGTTTGTCGTGGCTTGCCCGATCATTGTAGGCATTTCGTAAGCCGACTCTCTTTTGTACGTTTTATCTGTAATTATTTAGTTCAGGCAATTATAAATATCTCATAATTCTAAGGTACTTCCTATAAAGACTCAAACAATAATTATTTTACGTACTACGAGGTTTAATTGGCGGTCTGTTCTGCTGTCTCGTCGCGGCGAGCCTAGCCAATTGCCTAGCCGCAGCGGGAAACTCCAAACCGTCATTTCTGTCCTGAGCAACTAATCTTCGCTCCTCTGCCATGGCTGCCAACCATCGACGTTTCTCTTCTGCCGTGCGACAACAGAACAGCAACCACTTATCTCGAACACAACTATACACTTTCAAACAGTGCCTCACTGTTACACCCAACTGATGATCTGCGAACGGAACATGAAGAATTTATAATTGATATTTAATATTAGGATTAGAATTGAAATTAGTATTAGGGTGACAATACGTTGGTAATATATATTTTGCAAAATTACCTTTTCCATCGGGAACATCAATCACTTCGCTTGTGTCGAGATAAATTCGCCCTTTATATACATAAGTATTTCGCTTTAAAATGTCTTTCTTACAATACACTAATTGATGGTCAAACAGGAAAAGGGTTATATTGTTTGTCCACATGCCAGTGGTGACTCTTACAGCTTCGCCTTGATAGATCAATTGGGACGAAACTTCTATAAGATCTTCACCCTATATTATTAGTAAAAGATATTGTTACTTATCGAACACCATCGAACCAATTTCTGCGGTTTTTAAACCATGCTATTGGGAAGAATATAAAGCGGTTAAGTAATAAATAATAAAGTAAATTCATACCTCCCAACCTTCAACCCTTAATTGCCAGGCAGCCAGCTTTTCAAGGCTTTCCATTCGCCTCTTTCTTTCGTTAATCAAAACGGCAACACCTCGCATCGCTTCTAGAGCTTCCTGAATCTTATGGTAATCTGGATGATCGGTTTTTGTATACTTCAACAGTTCTGCCAACTGGAGCGGATACTTGCATATCCGTTGCACAGGCGTTAACAAATATCCGTCTAAAGGAATTTCTATTAGTCCTCTCATTAATCTACAGGCTTCAAAGAACTTGCTATAACGATTATGTTGATACAATTCCTGCAACGTGGCGGTAGCCATAGGATGACTGTTACAGTACTCCGAATACATACGAAATCCTGCTCTCTGGAACAATTTCAAATATCATAGGATTATTATTAAGCGAAACAAAACTGACGAATACTACATGGTTTCGATGTTTCTTACATGGTTTAGGAAACATTCACCGACGCAACTCTTGTGCGGAGCACTCCAGTCGATCCTAGTTTCTAGCTCCTTTAAAAACTCAGATTGGAAGTCCATAAGCTCTTCGAGGTTGATGAAAATCGTTTCTATCTGTTCCTCGGTAAACATATCTGTGCGTCGTCGACATTCGGCTATGTAACCCTCCGCGACATCCCTCAGTATCTTAACGAAATCTCGTTCTGTTTGAACTAGTTCACGAACTACGCTAGTTCTGACCTGTTCGTTCGATAATAGCGAAACACTGGTACGTCTTCTCAGTTGCGAATTTGACGTACCTCCAGAGGCCATCGCCGCCAAACAATCCTCGACAGTATCCTCTTGGCTTACGCGTAACTAGAGACATAAAATCCAACGTTATCGTTTATTCTCGAATTCGTTTACCCTTTACGATAAGAAACAGAGGATCGTTAGTTTAAAATCTGAAGAAAAATCGGTGCGTTACCCTAACAAATGCAGCCGGGAACCAGCCATGCTCTCCTCTGCAACTACCCCACCACCAGTCCTTATCCAGGTTGTCCAAAACTTCGATCACATCGCCAGCACGGAAAGCTAGCTCCTCCGGTTCCATCGCCACGTGGTCCCAAACAGCTTCAGCCAGGATTACGACCTCTTCGTCCATCGTCTGCTCGAAGGACTTTTTTCTGTCCGTCAAGGAGGCAATGGAGGATTCCGAGTCGGACATCATCTCATCGTCGGATGTTCCACCTCTTCCGTCCTGTTCGTCCTCAGACAGGACATTTCCACCGGGCAACCTCGCGCCTGGTTTCAAACAAAGTAACGCTTGTCATTATCGCGAGAACGAAGAACGGTCTCGTGATCCGCAGATCTTTCTATCCGTATTTTCTATCCGTCGCTGGATCGGTATGCACTTTTCTTTCATTTGTTGGTTAAATTTGTAATAAATCGGGAAAACAATCGTATGCGAAAAATCACCCTGTAGGCATCCATCGTAGGCTTGCTGGCGTTGGCAGCGAAAGATTAAAAAATCGTTTATCACGTTTTGTGCGTGTAATTAGTTTCCTCGTAGAGCTTGGCGAAACACAATTCGCGGCAAAAATGTCCCGTTATTCCCGGCGAGGAAGGGAAAAGAATTCGTTTCTTTCGATCGCTGGAATGTTTCGCGAAGCTCCCTAAGGTTGCTTTCTACTGCACCTTGCAAACAAAAGCGTATTCACAGGAAGCAATCCTTACAGAACGAAGATATCAACACGTTTAATACAGGAGTGTTCCGCATTCCGTACTGTTTAAGAACTCTTCTTACAGGTGCGCTCTGTTACAACGGTGAATGCTTTGAGATTTTTACAAAGGGTGCATGCTAACTTAGAGCACTGTCGGAAATGGTAGTCTAGAGAGAAACTGGATACCACTGGAGTAGAGAAAGTGTGCACTAATCTTCGTCAACGGGTTCGCTACCAGTGTACTTTCGTACCAAGCAAACAAGCAATGTGCTCCGACAGAAGAGAAAAAGAAAGGAAAAGAAACGAGTGATCGTGCATTTTTCCGAGACTGGTATTAATAACCGACGATGTCTTTAAAATTGAACGATTCGGTGCGCCAATGTGACATAGATCGGTGTGCGATTAGCGCAATTACCACGATTTGCGATTGATCAAAGTGTCCAAAGTGGAGAAGCGATAAATTACTCATTTGCTTGGAAGGAAAGAAAGGAAGACACGTAGTCTACGTTAGAACTCAAACAATATCAACGAGTGAGGCTGGATTCTAGTTTGACAAATGTTGGCTTTACCTGCAGTTTTGGTGCGCATCAAGGGTGATAGCTGATTGATACCCAGTGGTTGGCTAAGCGAACGCCTCAGATTTGTCCGAGAACTCCTCCCTTTCGCGTTACTGGGACCAGAATAAAATCATCGTTAATATTTCTCTTCGTCCACACATATTCGGATAAAGGACCAACAAGCTTTGTGTTTACGTAGAAGCATCGATACAACATTCAGCAACGAATTACAATAGGTAAATATATATATATATATATTTATATACATACGACAAGGTATACACGTGTATACAGAGTGGTTCTGTAAACTGTCCTACCTCAAAAAGTCCTTCACGTCTCCGTTCGCGCGTAACGTTTTAACCGACGAATAATCACTCGCATTTCCGCGTGTATTTCCGTTATTACGACGATATAGACCGTTCTAAGTTGCGTTTATACTTTTCCCTAGATGTCATAATTATCTCCTAGTCTACCGAATTTCGTCGAACCTTTTACACCGTGGTCTAAACAGCAGCCGATGATATTTCTACGTAACCTTCTCTAATGTAAAACAAATCGGGGTGATGGGAACTTCTACTTTGGTGAAGAAAATTCATTACAGGTGAGGAAAAGCGAGGAAAGATTGAAATTACGAAAGAACCACTCCGTACATAGTAACGCGTGACAGACCAACTGTTTTACGAGGAAAAATTAAAAGAAGGTGGTTTGTTATAATACCCGTCTACCTACCACTATTCTCCCTCGATTTACTGGAAAGGTTCGAGAATAAAGAATTTAAATTTCGTCAAGGAATTGTTTTGATGATATTATAATGTCGTGTTATGATCCGTCTCGAATTCAACGAAGATCAGAAATACAAAAATGAAAATAAAAAGGAACAGATAAAAGAAGAGAAAAAGGAAAAGTGCGAATCGTTCGGGACCACGCCGTTTTTCTTACAAAAAAAAAAGGAAGAAAAAAAAAGAAAAGAAAAAAAGTGTACGATTCGATTCTTTGCTAAACAAACGAGAAACGAAGCACCCAGTCTTTTCACGGAACTCTCTTTTTTCGTGGCAGCGTTGGTATTTTACGCATTCGTTGACTAACGAAGGCAATGCCCTCGAGTATTTGCACTGAAACCCAAGCAATCGTCGTCTACGTCTCTAAATCGGATTATAAAAAAATCTCAAGACTCCGTTCAGACGGTTCTCTCCGACTCTCGGCCGAAACTCCGGTTCGATTTTCGTTAAAATCAACATTTATAGAGCCATCGTGACGAATTCGCTAGAACGGTCGACTCAGCCCGATAACGATAACAAAACGGTTTCGAGGTCGACGTTTCGCATGGAAAACGAGTAGAACGCAATTTCGTAGACGATTGCCGAAAGTTTGTTTGCGGTTTCCTCGCGAGAGCTGCCTTCACCCGCTCGCAAATGGCAAAAAGTCAATGAGGCGTTTGCGATAAGGGTGCGAAAGCACGGGACGGATCACGCTCGTTAAACGCACCTTCTCAGCGTAACGATGTCATGGGAGGAGTGCCTCGGACTGAGTCTAGGAGGCCTCGTCTTGATCGGCGATGGAGTCGAGAGCATCCTGCGGTAATTGTGCGCGTGGCTGTAACCGGACCTCGTATCCCACTGGAGTAACCTCTGCCCTCCTAAATCGCTGTTCGTTCTGCGTACATGCTGGTGCCTCGACGCTCGGCTCTGCAGATCCGCCTGAAAGTATTACACATCCTCCGATTAACGTCTACGTTTCCAAGCGGTTCCTCGTGGTAAGCGAAGTTTCTGGCAGCGTTCGATTCTGGGCGTGTGACGTTAAGCCAGTCTTCCAGAAAATTGTTCGATCGTCGAGCAAGCCGAGTGCCGTTCCCATTTCTGCCTACTATTAGATTCACACGTTCCGTGGAATTTTGTTAATGCACAAACACCGATAGATGCTGGTATTTTGAGTTGCGACCGTGAGATCTATGTACACGTGGCGGGTAGATTAGTGGTCGGGTTCGTGAATTAGAACGTACTTGGTGATGTTAGAAGAGAGATGCCATATCGCTTTCACGCGTGTCGAATTAATTCCACGTTACGTCGTTCACATTTTTAAGCTCGCGATATATGTTCTAGCGTAAAATCGTTTCGCGTGAACGTTGGTGGATTTTCGAACGGCCTTTGCCACTATCGGAACACGCGAAGATCAAGATTCACTCGTTTGAGAGACACGTTAACGGGCCCGTATCTTGGAGACGCGCGACGCGGTGCTTGGACACGAGCACAGAGAGACAGAAACACGATGACGAAGAACAAACACTGGTGACTCGACTCGCGTCCACGATTCCATAAATCGTGTTCGCTCGGGTGCACGGCTCGATATCAACTAACCAGGACTGCGCTTCCTCTCTTCGTATCCTGGCTAACGCGATATATTCTGTGGCCGCGTATCAGTGACTGCCGGTGATCTGTACGAGCGTGGCTAAACCGTACACAAACGTGAGTAATGCGAGTTATTGTGTCGAAGGAAACAGGCATACGTGCGGCCCGATAATGATTACAAATGTGCGACTCTCTCAATAGCAATTATACATGATCGGGAATGGAAATGGTAGAAGGAAGGAAGGGTAGCGCTGTGTGACACTCGGATGAAAATTGCGCGCAAAGGGAAACAAAAGCGATGAAACCGTGTCCAAACATTCACGACAAATGGATCGTCTTTTACGTTCATCGAAAGCGAAAGCGTCTGTCCTCGAGATCCTCGTTCCTCCGCTATCGTACCCATATACGCAATCGTTAGCCTATCGGAATTAATTGTTCTTGGTTAAGTGAAGTTGTAACAAGGGAGAGTGTCTTGTACTCGAAAGAGCGAACGAAAGTAACGAGAGAACGTGGTCGTTCGAGTGGCTTTTATTACGAGCAAAAATACGTACAGAACACTCTCCTTTAGCGGTGCTCCCATGTAGTGAACGACGTTAAAGCACAGATACAGCGATGACGGGCAACTTCTCGTGCGGCTGGCGGTTGTTAATGATTAACACGAAGATTGCATGTAGCGGGGTAAACGGGGGCAAAGAACGATAGTCTTTACCTTAAACTTGTCGATCAGTATCTGGTTGATGAGCTCGGACTGGGGTCGTGATTTGTCGGCGACTCGCCTACGAAGGGCTGGCGGGCTGTCCGTCTCGTCTTGGACATCCGTGTCGTGGGACTCGGAGCTATCACCACCCCCCATCATTCCACCACCACCGCCCCCAGTCAATGCTCCACCAGATACCATCTATATCGTTCACAATTTACTTTGTTACTCGTCGACTCTACGCTGGACTGTGATTTTTCTTTTTCTATTTCGTTTTAGCTTAATAATACGTTTCGATATATTGTCCACCGACTGACGTGTCGTTTCGCAAGGAATTCATTTTTACGGAAGGACTAGCGGATGGTGTATCGTTGCGAGGGTGTCTTCCTGGTAAGGAAGATTCAAGGAAATGGTATGCATGTCGTTAGTTTGGCTAATTTGAATTTTAGATTTCTTCTCTTAGGGACTAAAGTATAAGTACGTTCTGTCTACCGTTAAATTTCCTGTCTTCTTACCTCGATCTGTATTCCACTATCTCCGCTGTTGCACTTCGCGTTTCTGGCAGCCTTGCTGCCCTTTTTCCTCTCCTTGCTGCTTCTCCACACAAGGGGACCAAATCTGTAGAAAGCAGATTCAATATTTAATCGCCCTTATTCGAATCGCGTAGCTAATTTCTCGCCGAAATCTCGACGTTAATCGCCGCGAGAAAGCGAAACGGCGAAACGACATTGAACTAACCGGAATTTCTGGTCATTACTGGTGTCTTCTTTGTGCTGAGGGGTCTGTTCCGTCACAGTCGGCGGCTCCCTTTCCTCCTCCTCGTCCAGAGGGCCGGATCCATCGTTATCTTCGACCGGACACTCGCTCTCGTTGCTTTCCTTGCTGCCCTTTTTGTGGAACCTCAAGGAGAAGCTCTTTCTGAATTTCTGCAGAACGCTCTCTTGCTGGCTCTGCGTGCTCGAACGAGGAGGATTCTGGGTCCCGGAAGCGGTCACGAGATTGCCACTTAAGTTAGAGGGCTGCTCTTGAAGACGCGAGTGGGAGACCAAGGGAATTGTCGCCTCTGCCAGAGGATGCTCCGTTGTTACGTGACCTGTTGTGCCCTCGTCCTCTTCGTCTCCCGACCACTGTCGACTGTTCCAACAATATCATCGAACGTTATCGCCAGAGTTCACGTTCGATATTAATAACCGCGTTCGTATCATCGATAATAGAGACCCTAATTATACAGTTTCACGTTACAGTTAGAAAATATCCTCGCACAACCTCGAAAGAAAAAAAGAAAAAGGAGCGTCGTATCGAGATTTTTCTAAACATCGAGGAATCAATCATCCGAACGCACACTTTCACGTAACGAAAAGAAAAGCTCTGGCTGTTCGACGATTTCTCGAGGCTGCTCGTACACACCGAGTTAATGGGCGCGCACGCCGATCGATTCGATTATCCGTTTAATCAATGGCCCATTGTGATCGCGAGTGGAAAATAATTTACAGGCTGTAGGAAACTCAACACCGTTTCTTCCCGCGGTGCGGAGGCCGCGGGAGACGAGCGTCGTAAAATTGATAGATCACGAAGGTGCCGTACGGCAATTTATGCGGCTGAACACCGAGCACGGCAGCTGACCGAGTGGCTGCCACGAGGCTGTATAACGGAAACGACAACGTCACGAACAGCCTTCTGCGCGTGTCCCTTCTTCGAGGACGGAAACCCGCGGCTTCCGAATATTTCCAAACCCTCGCGTTCGATCGGCATTTCTCCGAACCGCGCCGCGCCGCGCCGCGCCACTTTTTCCGTTCTACTCGCTCCAAAAAATCGTACCAGCGATCGGTTCTTTGTTTAAACAACAGCGGCCAACGTTTTATTATCTTGTTTGAAAACGCGAAAAAGTTTGGCAAGGTAACGAGCGATTTTACGAGTTTCGCCAACCCGAGATGCAATCCTTTCGTTTCGCGGAGTAATCGAGATCGTTGATACGGTTTTGAGTGAAACTCCAACAGCGGCCTAGGTGTTATTATCGAAGAGTTATTGCTATAAGTCGCGATATAAGCGAGCCAGGTTCTCGACTTTGTTTTTAAAGTATCTGCCGTTTTACGCGATTCGAGATATACGGTTCCTGTTTGCAATCGAATGGACTGATTCGAAGAAACACACCTTCCTCGGAAAACAAACTTTCCCTTCTTTTTTCCTTTGCTTTTCTTTTTTCTTTTTTTTTTCCTTTTTTTGACTATTTTCAACGATAAACAAGATAACCGAGTCGGTTTCGAGTTGCGCATTTTATTCCTTTTAAGATAGGCAAATTTCTAGCTCGTTAGCTTTGTCCTTCGCGAGTTAATTACGCGTCCGTAACGATATTTTCTATTTTTACGAGGAAGATAGCGGAACGGAAAATTAACGTCAACGACTGACGATCTTTGGAATCATTTACGTTTTCGGTAACGCTACGTTCTTCCGCATACTTCGTTTTTCCGAGTGGAACTGGAAAGAAAATATAGCGCAACGTCACGTACCACATCATCGAGACGGTTCGGATGAATTTTTTCCTCTTGCAGATTAACGTTTATCCAACGCGTTTCATTACTTCTTGCTCGACTAACATTTTACGCTTGGTCCGTCTTTCGTCCTGTCGCCTTTTTTCCCCTACTTTCTGAAACTCCTCGCGAGAAACGCATTCGCGTATTTTGCTCCGTTCGAAAACATCTCGCGCGCGAGATATCCGCGCGAAAGAAACGTTAATTGTTTCGATGGAAGCTGGTTCCCGGGGAATCGGGAAAAACACGTTCCCAGCTTGGCACAAATTCGTGAAGCGAAGAAAGGGATCCTTTCATTCACGGTTCCCTATTTATATTACGTCTCGGGCGTGGATAATAAAAATCCTCGAGATTATTCGACGCACGAACAACCACTTGCAACCACTTTTAGACAGGAAATGCGTCGAGTGACGGTCTACAGGCGACTGAAACCTACGGCCGGTACACCAAACCACCACCGTAAGCCTGTGTGCACGTCCGTGTGCCGTGCCGTGGCTCGTTGGCCTATACGATCCGTGGCATAAAGATATTCACGGAAATCGTCCTTCCTGTAGGCTAGAATTTTTAACTTCACAACAATCCGTCGCCGTTCTTCCACGTTCCAACGAGGAAGCGTCACTTGTTGATCGGTCGCGATGTGATCACACGTGCACCCACATTTTCCTTTGTAATCCTTTCTCTTCTTCGCGGCGATGCCACTCGTGTTCGAAACGGACGAGTGAAACGAAAGAAAGGAAAGAAAGGAACGAATACAAAGGTAAAAGTAAGAAAAAAGAAAAGAACGCGAAAGTAAACGGAGCACGGTGCTATCGGTGTATCGCGACGAAGGGTAGGAATCACACGCGAGAGTTGGAATTTCTCGGTAAAAGCACGGACGTGTCTATAGACTGCGGTAACCGGACGCAGGTTCGCGGAATCAGGCGAGAAGGTACGACAACTCGTAAATACGAGGACCACTGGTGAAAAGGAGGAAATCGGTGGGAAGCAGCGTGGCCCAAGAGGAAGTGCATCGAACGACGAGCCGCGACCGACTGAAGGCTCTGGCGGCCACACAAATCCAGTCTCACGTGTGTCCCACGTGCCTTTGTGTGTGTACACGTGCACGCGTGCAGGGTTTGTGTGCCAGTGCACCTCGTGAACTCTTCCGAGAACAGATTTCAAGGGTCGCTTCAGGTATAAACCGACACGCCGAGGGTTGCTCCTCCTCTCCCACCACCGCCTTTTGCACGTTGTTTTTTTCTCGCTCCCTCTCTCTCTCTCTCTCTCTTTCTCTCGTTGTCTCCTTTCACTCCGTTTCACCCTCGGTTCGCTCTTTCCTTCTGCCGTGGTAGGGCCAGAAGATCGTGGGCGGGAGAGGAGCGGCCAAGGAGAGCCGTCGGTCTCCACAAAAGGTACCATTTATCCATTGTAGTGACAGTGGCCCGCTGGCTCCTCTCTCGTTCTCCTTTTAATCGCCGGAATTTTTCCTCTCCTCATCGCGAACGCGCCACCTTCCACGTACAGATTTGACACGCTGCACCAAACTCCCTCGCTCTTTGAGGATTCTGCTAATCTCCGTTCCCTCGTACCCTGTCTCCTCTATTCTTCTCCACGCGTGTCTCTCTGTTCCCTTTTCCCT